CAATAGTGGCGCGCTGGTGGCAGGATCAAATTTGGCACCCGCGACGATTGCATCAACCAGCACAAGTGGAGGATTGGTGTCGACCTCATCTGCTCAAGCTCCCCAGCAAAACCTTCCGCCCGTCACGAGAGCAGCACAAGCGGTCAACCAGTTCCTCCAGTCCGACGAGAACTACCCCGAGCTCGATTCCTACTGCAGGCGTAAGTTTACTGCTCTTGCATTTGTCTAACCTTTCAGGCGACGGCTACTGACGTCCACATAGCAGGAGCATCGTCAGACTATGACTTCAACACGCTCGACTCGCCCTGGGCGCCCTTCCACAAGACCCAGATGTACCCGATTCCGAATCAGGTTTTCAGCCACTACAATACCGGCCAGCTCCAGACGTTAATGGGCTTGTTCGCCGAGATCAACCATGCTTGGGTGGTCATCGACAACTCGCTATTCCTGTGGGACTACACCCACCCGGACCCCGAACTTATCGGCTTCGAGGACCAACCGCACACGATTCACGCCGTCGCTCTCGTTGCACCCAAGCCTGGCATTTTTGTCAACACCATTACGCACATTCTGGTCGTTGCGACGTCGTCCGAGATGATTCTCCTCGGTCTTTCTGCCGAAACCACGCCATCGGGGACCAAGACCGTTTCGCTTTATAGCACCAAGCTTAACCTCCCTCTCCGAGGCACCGATGTCAGAGTTATTGCTGGCACTGCGGACGGCCGCATTTTCTTCGGAGGCAGCAACGATACCGATATCCACGAACTTTACTACCAGCAGGAGGAGAAATGGTTTTCGAACAGATGCGGCAAGATCAACCACACCAACCCAGGCTGGTCTTCAGTCGTCACTCTCCAGAGCGGATTCTGGGCACAAAAGTCTCCGGAAGGTCTTCAGAGCATTGTTATTGACGATTCCCGGAAGCTCGTCTACACACTTTCGACAAGATCTACCATTCGTACATACCACATGGACGGGCCTAACAAGCTCACCAAGGTGATCGAAAAGGAGCGCAACGCCTGCCTACGCGACATCACCCACATGATTACTCAGTCCCCTCTGCTCAACGACAGAACTGCCTTTGTTGCCATCAGCGCTATTCCATCACGAGAGGCGTCGAAGCTGCACCTCATGGCCCTGACCAACACCGGCTGCCGTCTGTTTCTTAGCGCTACGAGCTCTGCCTCGTACATGATTGGCGGTGTTTCTTCAAACACGCCCCCTCAAAGCATGCAGGTCCAGTTCATCAAGTTCCCCCCATCGGACAAGCCCGGGCGATCCGGTACCAACAGCGCGGGTGATGCGGTTATCGATCTTGGCTCAAGGGCGTTGGAGTTGAGCAGGCTTGGAGCTCGATTTGCGCCTGGATACTTCTTGGATTTCGTCGTTAAGGACAACGATCCGAACATCGATCTGCTCTTTGTTTCTGCCCCCGAGACAGGCCGAATCAAGGCCAACTCGTCTTCCGCCGCGCTCAAGTACTACGAGCACGGGAACTGGATCGATATTGGAAGCAGAGCCGAAGATGTCGGTTTGGTGACGAAGCCGTTTAGCGCAGCAAACCAGCCCGTCGGCTTTGGAAACGAGCTTGCGGTTCAGTTCGACCAGCCGGCCACCGAGTTTGCCGTGCTGACCAATACCGGCGTGCACATAATCCGCCGCCGCCGGTTGGTGGATACTTTCGCTGCCGCTATCCGTGGTGCAGTGGGAGACGAAGGTCTGGAGCTGGAGACTCGAAAGTTCATTTCTCGGTATGGCCGCGTAGAAACCATCTCCTGCGCTCTTGCTGTAGCTTGCGGTCATGGTGGTGATGCCAGGCCAGGCGCCACGCGCGCGATTGATCAGGCGACAGAAGACCGCGCCAGGACCGTATTTGTCGACTACGGTGGCCAGCCCTCTATCACAGAGGCAGATGGTACCCCTCTCAACACAACCTCCGTTCGCCTGTCACCCAGGCACGATGCTCTCAGTGTCTATCTCACCCGCCTCATCCGCACATTATGGAAGAATCACGTTGTCGCTCTTGCTGCCAGCCCTACCGGCGGCGTTGCTATTCAATCCATGGTACCCACCGCAAAGCTTCACTCCACTCAGGAGCAGCTTGAGCGTCTCCGTAGATTCCTTGATGCAAACAAGAGTTTCATCCAGGGTCTGTCGGGTCCTTCCGACCTTCAAAGAGTTGCCAGCAAGCAAGAGGAAGTCGCACTCCAGGCAGAGCACCAAGCTCTGCATGCACTTCAGAAACTGATGGAGAGCATCTCCGAGGGCATCTCGTTCGTCTTGATGCTCTTTGATGAGCGTGTCAGTGACATCTTTACGCGACTGGATGCAACGGCGCAGCAAGGACTGAAAAGTCTCACATATGAGAGCCTATTCTCACAGTCTTCAGGCAAGGATCTTGCCAAGCTATTGGTCAAGTCTATCGTCAATCGCAACATTGAGAGCGGATCCAACGTCGAGACGGTCGCGGATGCTCTTCGGAGACGCTGCGGCAGTTTCTGCAGCCCTGATGATGTTGTCATCTTCAAGGCTCAGGAGCAGCTGAAGAGAGCGTCTGAGCAGCCATCCAACAGCAACCAGTCTCGCGCGCTTCTGCATGAGAGTTTGAGGCTGTTTGAGCGCGTCGCCGGTGCCCTTTCATTTGCCAACCTACACAACGCCGTGTCTCAGTACATCGACCTGAAGTATTACGCCGGTGCAATCCAGCTCTGCCTCACTGTTGCCCGTGAGAAGGATAGAGGCAACACCGCTCTGTCATGGGTCCATGATGGCAAGCCCGCTAACGACCCTCGGGCTAACGCCTTCTCGGAGCGTAGGAAATGCTACGAACTCATCTACGAGGCTCTGCAACACCTAGATGCCGCGTCAAGCAGGGAACCGGAGACGATTGACGGTAGACTGACTTTGATGGGCACAAAACGCCTCGAGGCCTACAGCGTAGTGAACGACTCGGACGACGAGGTCTTCCACTTCGACCTTTACGAGTGGTACATCGAACAGGGATGGACTGATAGAATCCTTGCTATCGAATCACCACACGTCATCACATACCTCCAGAGTCTGGCGAGGAGCAATGTGGACCATGCCGATCTTCTCTGCAGGTTCTACACCCAACGCGAGCGGTACTTTGAGGCTGCTCAGGTCCAAAATGATCTTGCCCAATCAGACTTCGCCATCGGTATCAAGGACAGAATCATCCTTCTCAGCAAGGCCAAGGCAAATGCCAGCGTCGCTACGGTAGGAGTTGGCAGGCAGCAACAGCAGGTCCTGGCCCACGAAGTCAGTGAGCTTCTCGACATTGCCAACATCCAGGATGACTTGTTGGAGAGGCTCAAGGCCGATAGCCGCGTTGACCCTGATCGCAAGGCTCAAATCGAGGAAGCGTTGGATGGCCAGGTGATAAGCTTGTCAGATGTGAGTACCCCAGTGATGAGCTCAGCTTTTTATGAGACTAACCTTTGATAGCTGTTCAACCAATATGCCGACCAGGCGAATTACTATGATCTGTGCCTCCTCATCTACCACAGCGCCGATTATCGCAACCCCAGCACAATCTCCCAGACATGGGTCAGCCTCATCGAGCAGATCCACGAGGAGGCTGTAGAGCGAATGGAGGAAGCTGGTCCGGGCATCCCTGTTCTGCCCTCACCCTACGAATCTGTGTCGGTCAAGGTGCAGAACATCGCCCACCGCACTTCCCTGGATAGCTTCATCTTCCCGGTGCCAGTGCTGCTTCCCGAGATCTGTCGGTATGCCGTTGAATACCATCAAGATGCTGAGATCGGTGCGGATCCCACCTGGCCTGTGCAGCTTTTCCTCAGCCTTGGCGTATCCAATGACATGGTCACTCGCGTTCTCGAGAGCGTTTTCGATACCCAAGACTATGGGTTCAGCGGTAACAACCGCAACCGCATCATTGAGCTCATTGTGTTCTCTGTTGATGTTTGGCAACGCGAGGTCAAGCGTCGTGGTGCTGCCTCGATGAAGGGCGACGGTGCTCTTGGTGCGTGGGTTAAGGACCTGCTTAGCAGATGCGAGGCATCCCTGCCCCCTGCTGGCCACGGGTCGAACCCGGGTGGTATGGACTTGTCAGAAGTGCGGAGACGTCTGCGGACGGTGAAGAGAGATGTCGATGGCCTCGTTGAGAGAGGTCCCTCTGGAAGCTTACGCTTCCTGTAATGTCTGAAACTTTATTGGCGTGACAGAGGTGTCGGGAGGGAGTTTTCCAAAGGCGTGTGGAGAGAAGAAACACAAAACTAGACAAAGACTGAACTACGGACTTGGGCTCTCAGAGTGAGCCACGGAAAGTGTACAAAGAAGATGCGAAAAGAAACCTTGTATTTGACGCGGACGAAGTTTTGGGCCGGGGCGCGGCTGGTTAGGCGGTGTAGGCTTAGGCTTAGGCTTTGGATGTCTAGTTGGTGTTATTATATTAACACTTTTCCCAGCACTTGAGAGGCCGGACTTTGACGACGGCTTAGCTATGATAATGTGATTCATAAAAATCGGATTAGAAACTTCGTGTGGGGGCTCTGTGGCGAGATGGAGCGACGCAGTCTGCATCTGTGTGTATCCCTTGCCGCTCGACAAGGTCCTTAAGTTAACGCTCCTCGGAGTTGAGTAAGCAACGCTTTAGTACACATGGTTCGCCATCGACTTGTGTTGGTCGTTGACTTAAGTCGCGACGGTTGAGCTAGATTGAGAGAGATTGAGCTTGCCGGCGACTTATCGGAAACTTCCCCGGTCTGATTCCCAACCCACCAAGTAAGATTCTGCTGACTTATATCTCCGAGGCATCAAGCTATATCAGCAGGCGACTTTCCTTTGAGTCTGAACGACTAGAGTTCAACTCAAGCCCTCCTGGCTCACTTATTTTTTCGCGTGCTCTAGGTGTTGCAAGCATTTACAAATCTCCCTAACACCCTGGGACTTGCCTCGCTACTTCAGATACCAGCGCAATGATGACAACAACCACCACCACCCCCCAGTCCGCGGGCCCCATGGCGCCCATCTTTCGCTCCATGGACAAGACCATCGGCGCGCACTGGGAAGAGACCATGATTGAGATGAGCCGGACGATGATGGTGCCCCTCAACGCGCGGCTCATGGGGCAGATGGGGTTGGACCAGCACACCACGGAGCCCATTGCATTTCTCGACAGCGCGTGCGGGGCTGGACCAGCGACGCAGGAGCTTTTCAAGGCTGTGCCCAGAGAGTTCCTGGAGAAGAGCGAGGTTGTTTGTGCGGATGGATCGCCTATGATGGTTGGGTTGGTGGAGAGGAGGATCCGGGAGGAGGGATGGGTTGGGGCGAGTGCGAGAGTTTTGGATGCCATGGTGAGTTTTGATTGCTCTTTTTCTATACCTTTGAGCTGTGATTCTCCGTAGGGGCCTTTTTCTATCAGTTGCTGATACGATCTACTGTTGGGACAGGATTCTGGGTTAGCTGAGAACTCGTTGACGCACGTCGTCGTCGGCCTCGGTCTGCATCTCATCCCCCGCCCCGACAGAACCATCAAAGACGTCGTCAGGATCCTCAAACCCGGCGGGGTCTTTGGCTGTATCACACCGCACATCGACCACATAGGCTGGGTTGCGGACGTGAGGTCAGCGTTTGCGTCCTTCCCCTTTGACGCGCCGTTTGAGGAGAAGAATCGGGCGCAGGTTCACGATGTCGGGCGGTGGTATAATGAGGATTGGGTGAGGGGGTATCTACAGGACAGCGGGTTCGAAGACGTCAAGACATGTTTGGAGAGCGGGACGGTCAGGGTGAGGGATGCGAGGCACTGGCTGGACGTGTTTGGACCGGTTGTTGCGTTGATTGTGAACATGGAGTGGAGTGAGGAGTTGAGGGGGGAGCACGAGTTGGAGGAGGTGAAGGGGTTGATGAAGGAGCATTTGGAGGGGAAGTATGGGGGAAATGGGTGGGATGTTGGATTTGCCTGTATTGTTGCTTCTGGAGTTGTTGTGAAGTAAGGTAAGGACGAGGATATCTGGGACAGAATGAGAGTCTGGGCAGCTGGAGATCAATGGACAAGACATTGCCAGAAGCAGATTGCGAGAGATTTTTGAGTACAAAACGGGTAACTGGATATAACCTACTCACTTGGAGTCGTGTCTTAGATGAAGCCTAGATGAAAACAAGTTGGGGTGCGCGGGGTGTCTCTCAACCAACATTGTGGCGTTTGTTTATGCGGCTGATATGTCTTATTTGATCCCATACTTCGCCCATTTCCTCTCATGAGCTGAAAACAAAGTTTCTTCTCAGACATGGCGGCTTGGCAAGAGTAGGGTTGCGAATGCGATTCATGGTGAAATCCAGAAATGCCCCGTCGTGTCGTACAAGACCCGCGACTCGGTTGGGTAGCCCATGAGGTGATCTTCCCTCCAAAGTCAGAATATTACCCGTGCGTCTCGGAACTACCGGTGAATGGGACCCTATGTTCTCTGCATCTTAGAGGTCGAGCAATGGTAAATCCAGGAAGCAATTCGACATTTTGGCTTCGAAGATGTCAGATAAGGGCGGCATATTCGGACACCTCGCGAAAAAATCGAAAGGAATTGTGGCTTTTATCTCCGCCGCGAGCTCATAAACCCCACAAGGGAAGATGTCTTCTTCAACATGCAGGACTAAAGTGGCAGAGGAATGAACGGTTCGGCGCGTCAAAGTTGGCAACGCTTCTTTCGGGGCAAGCCACCAGCTGCTCTAGCCTCTTGATCTGAGTCGACATTCACCAATACACACCCCTTGGCACAACTCTCTGAGTCCGCAAACAACACCAGAAATGTGGACTATATAACTGCTGATATCGCCTGGAGTTCTTAGCTGTCTCTACAGTTTCTCGACTCTTAGATTCCATCTCCATCTGTTGGCACAGAAGGTCGGCAAGGTTTGTCAACAACCTTCATGATGCTGTCACTCGCAAGGTCATTTCGTCTAATCGCCCTTCTCGCTTTCTTCACTCAGGCTGCACCGACAAAAGAGGTTCGTACAGAGGATAATGGGAGTTGCAGCAGAGTTCAGGTAGCCATTCTCGGTGCTGGCCTCGCCGGAGTCACTGCCGCCCAGGCACTGGCCAATGCATCTATCACAGACTTCGTCATTGTTGAGTACAACAATCGGATCGGTGGGCGAGTTTACAATCGCGCCTTTGGGAAACAACCGGGCACGGATGAGCCTTACTATGTAGAGCTTGGTGCAAATTGGTACGTGATTCAGGCGTCTATTTGATGCTGCTTCCGGGTAGGTAAAGTACTTTTGATTTTGCTCACAACACAAAAAGGGTCCAAGGAACGGAAAGCGAAACCGAAGAAAATCCAATTTTGACCATGGTCAAGAAGTACAACCTCACAAATACTCCGTCCGACTTCGCCAACCTGACCGTCTTCAACGAGAGCGGCCAACTGCCCCTTGGTGTCATGACGGAAAAGTCTGAGGAGCTGAGTAAGCTATTCGAAAAGGCTACAGAAAAGTACCAGTACGATGCCGGCCAAATCATTCTTCAGAATCAGCAAGACCGCAGTGCTCGTTCCGGTCTCGCAATTGCTGGCTGGAAGCCAGGCAGCGATCCGCTGGCACAAGCTATCGAATGGTCTTCGATGGACTTTGAATATGCCAATCCACCGGAGAAGACGTCCCAGCAGTACTCTGCAGTCAATACCAACACCTCGTTTCAACGCTGGGCAAACGTGAACAACCTTGTGCACGATGCCCGAGGATTCGCTACGTTCTTCAGGGAAGAAGCAGATTTGTTTCTGAACAAGAAAACCCAGCTGAGGCTTGGGACTGTCGTCCAGAACATCACCTACACTGTCGACAACGTCACAGTACATAACGAAGACGGCAGCTGCATCATTGCCGACTATGCCATTTGTACATTCTCACTGGGTGTCTTGCAGAAGGAAGTGGTCAACTTCACACCGGAGTTGCCCCTTTGGAAACGTACTGCCATTCAGTCGATGACCATGGGCACCTATACGAAGATCTTCATGCAATTCAAGCCGGAAGACGTTTTCTGGGACAAGAGCACTCAATTCTTCTTGTACGCCGACCCAGTTCAGCGAGGCTACTATCCCTACTTTCAGTCACTTGATCACAAAGACTTCGTGGACGGCTCCGGCATCATCTTCGTCACCGTCGTTGACCAGCAATCTTACGCCGTAGAGGCGCAGGAATTCAACACCACCAAGAGCCAAATCATGGAAGTCCTAAAGGATATGTTCCAACGGGAAATTCCTGATCCCATCGACTTCTACCATCACTGCTGGACTCGCGAGCCATGGGCGTACGGGTCCTACTCGAACTGGCCCCCGGCCTTGACTTTGGAGATGCATCAAAACATCCGCGCCAATCTCGGAAACTTATGGTTTGCTGGCGAGGCCACTCATCCGCAATACTTTGGGTTCCTGCAGGGTGCATATTACGAGGGAAAGAACGCGGGTGAAGCTGTTGCTGGATGCATCAAGAACAAGGATGACTGTGCCAACCTGAGATCAGTGGCGTACGATGTATTGAATGGAACGACCAGTACCGACAAGTACACAAAGGTAAATGGATGGAGCACCAAGACGTTTGTAAAAGAACTTGGCATAAACATTAAGAGCTGAGAGAACCGTATGTCAGGGCTTTTTAGTTAAAGAACCCACGCGCGCGAGGTCTTCTTAGACTGTACGTCATTACACCGAGTGTGTTCTTCCAGGCCTCATTGGTCAATGAGAAAGCCCCTTGATTCTGTCACACAGGAAGATATCCAATCGCAGTTGCAGTGTGTTTAAAAAGACCTTGCAGGCTGAGGCGAACTAGTGTGCCTGGTCACCCAGCCTGATTTCGACCCTTCGATGGCAAGCCCTGCTAGACTTCGACCTTGCCAGATATATAAACCAAGAAGAAAAGAACAATCGAAGTTGACACGCAAAATGTGTCTCACCACCAAACCGTTTCTTTGACGCCGATTACCCTACAGAAGACCCCTCTCTTACAATATTGCGCCCTCGCTTGAGGGACTTGGTTCTGCCTGCGCCACTATCATGGAATACAACCAAGAACTCACATTCATACAACCAACAGAAGCTATAATGCGCAGCAGCGCTAATGGCGAACTGGATCTTCTCCTCATTGGCGATACCATGAAAGACTGTACTGAAAAACTCACCTCTCCGGGTGCAACTTGGTTGTTGAATCGACATCTCCCGATACGACACTCCCTGGCACAGCCGCAAGTCACGTCGTTTTCAACTCCATTTCCCACATATATTGAACGTCCCTACAAAATCATACCGGAGAACGCTAAAGACTGGGAGGCCCAGAAGGTGACTCTTCACAGGCTGTATATGGAAGATAACTTGCCACTGAAGGATACCATGGAGATCATGTTGAAGAAATATCTCTTTTCGGCCACGTAAGACACCTACCCCCAGATGGATTCTTTTATACATTCGCAACAACGACATTTGCAACAACGTGTTATCAGGCAAACTGACACAATAGAAATAAAGCGAAAGAATGTACAAGAGACAGTTCATGAAGTGGGGCTGGAGAAAGTACAACACCAAAGGAGGTCAACAACGAGACCTCGATGGTAAAACCGATCAAAATCGTGGGGAAAACCGCAGTTGCAGGAGGCCACGTCGACAACAGCCCGGCGGCTGGCAGACTGACGGAAGTACTGCTGCAGCTGCTACTTCCAACTGCATATTCTCTCAGTTCCGTGGATCGGTCACCCGAAGAGCTATGCCTAGATTAATGCTCCATGGGAGCGAAACCGACAGGTGGACCGAGGGGCTTTTTGTCAGCCTGTACGATCTGATGTGCGGAAGTGCGCGGCAGAGTCCTGCCTGGCGAGACACATCAAATCTATCGCCCATTTACACAGGAGGAAGTCGAAATGCCTTCTTACTATTTCGTTCGGCAATGGATCTGTTTAGAGAGGGCCACATGAGACGCGCCAGTGTTGTCCTCCGTCGGGCATTTCGCGATCTCGACGCACTAGCCGAGGAAGATTCATGCACGGTGTTTCAAATACTGATCTTGGAAATACCGATACTTTGCTATGACTACGCGAAAGACAGAGAGACTCAACTCTATCTCCACTACATCTGGCAGCTTTTCAGCATTAAGAAGGAGGGGCAACCAATTGTTCAAATCGCGAAAATCATGTTTCGCATCGGCAGCAAAGACCAGCGCAAGCTTCGGGAGTGTTTGGAACAGATGGCCAAGATTATCGTGGACCTTTTTGCGGAATTACGAGGAACACTGGATGCGAGCACTCTGTCAGCGAGATACATGCTTACGAAGCCCGGAGTTTGTGAAAACGAGTCGGATCTGATCGAAATTATGGACGACTACGCCGCCTTAACGGAGCTCGCGAGGAAAGCTTATGGAGAGAATTGCAGTATGGTTACTGACATGGAGCTCTGGCATTTAGGAGCGTCATTCTACGTCCCGGCTCGAAGTCACGACTTGATAAGTTCCAGTGTTAATCTCGTTACGAAGCTCAAGTCGCACAGACCGTACTCTTGGGACGAATGGGATGACTCGGATCTTTGGACGCTTTCTTCAGTATACAGTCTCGTCGCACTAGCTAACCTCCGCTTACAAGACGTGAAATCGTGTATTTGTAACCTGGAAGAGATGATAAAACTGTTGGAGTATCTAGTATATGAGAGGGAGGAGGGTTTCTGGCGCGAGAGAATAGAGGTCAAGGCAGCAAGTTGGCGGGTAGAGCTGGCAGGCATTCTTGCATACTCCGGCCAGAACAGCAGGGCTGTGGAGGTTATATCGGCTCTGGAAAATCTGGGAATTCTGACACTCGATGACCACGAGTGCACCACAGAGAGTATTGACTCCTTGAGTATTGTTGTCTAGAAGAGAGCCGCAACACAAAGGATGGGAATGTGCTTTATTATGGAAAGTTAACTTCATGTACTTTTGTTTTCTTCGCTCGCTATAGATATGGGGTCTTGCCGGGGCAAGCGACGAAATGTCAAGTCGACATCATCAAAAACATGCATCGACTTTGGCATAGTTAGGCTCTGTGGAAGGCTAAAGGTAGACTTCATGCGTATAGCCATCGTATAGGGTTAATGTAGTTTAGCCCAAAGAACCCTACAATGGCCAATTTCCGCACCAGAGACCAAGGAGTCTCCCGAGATTCAGCGCGAGCATGTCAGCACTTACCCTACTACCTTAAGTAAAGTACCTTACTTTACCCACATGCATGTCCGCGGGATCTACATGCAGGTCGTTCGGCGTAGTGAACCATGTACATGTTCGAAGTTGTGAAAGTTTTGCCTTCCATAACAATGCGAAACTTTTGATTTGGACTGTAATATCGTGTGCAAATGGCGGTCGTGCCAAGCCCTCTACGGAATGTGATGACATGTTGAAGTTCTCTGACCAGAGCACCAGTTCAGTTATTCTTTGACGCAGGTGAAGAGGCACAGCACGTGATCAAAGGGTACCAGTGGTACCTAGGTACCTCATTCACCGGGGCGGGTGGATCCCCTTATCCCTTGTCGGACAGAGCTTCGGCGACAGCTGTCAATTTGGCTTGAGAACCACAGTCGAACTCCGGGGAAAGCTGGCCCGGAATAGCTCCCACCCCCGTCGCGCGTCCCTCCGAGTCAAGGAAATGCCCCGGCCAAACTGCTAGGACCCTTTCTCCATCTTACCGCTTGCACGATCACCGACTATTCCATCCGCGCACACACATTATGGCGTCCCTCGCGCAGTTACTTCTGGGCGCTGTCGCTTTCTGCGCTTCTGGCGTTCTCGCTGCGCATCCCGAAGATGGCCTCCCTTCGTATCACTACGGCGCACCCATCCACGTGGAGTGCATGAACCGCAGCTCGTGAGTTCCTGCCCAGTCTTTGCTGCTACTCATGCTCTCTGGCAGCTTCATCTTACTTCATATAAGCACTAGCTAACAACTCTCCAGCGAAACAGGCGAACACATTGAAAACTCCAACCACGAAATCGAATGGATCCCCTTCCCCTCCTGCGAAGAAACCAACAAGCCCCTCGAGTTCCAATACGGCCACGAAGGCGAAGTCAACTGCACCATCCCTATGGTATCCGACCCTTTCTTCCACCTCCTCGAGTTCTTCATCCACAACGACGCACCTCTCGCCTGCCGTCTCCCAGCCCGACCCGCGCCCCACGTCGAGACCGTCGGCGAGAAGCCCTACGTGCAGGAATACATCCCTCTCGTCTTCGCCCTCGCCGGCACTCTCCAGCTGAGCCACCTGCACGTCAGCACGCACATGAATGTGCTCCTGCACAGCATGCCGAAGCACCACACCCGACCCCACGACTCGGGTGTCCTCGATTCCGGAACGGCGTATAGCACAAGCCCATTGAGCCATATGGACGGGATATATACAAAGAGGCTTGTGATTGGCGATCCGCTGCCGCTCCGGTTGTCTGTAAGATGGTTCCCGACGCCGAACCTGCCAAAGTCGGAGGGCCATGTGGAGTGGCAGGGTATGGGCGGGCACGTCTACGCGAGTACCGTCTTCTACATCATCACTTCCTTCATGGCAGGCGTGCTCGTCGCATCAACGTACTTTTTCGGAGTTGTCTTGCCCAAGAGGGTACGCGGAAGGGGCATGGGCGGCGCGACGCCACTCGGCTATGGTCTCAACGGTCTCAATGGCGTTGGCAACGGTTGGGGCTACTCCAAAGCGGCCAAGAGGATGGATTGAAAACAAGCACCAACAAAAGTGTTCACGTGACCAAAAATCTGTACGATTTGATCCGATTCATGTATATCTGCTAGCCGCCCCTTGCTTGAGAGGCCTTTATGATGGATGATGGGAGTTTTATTTTGATGGACGAATTAAACTGGGTTGGCCTTGACCTGCACACTTGGACCTGGGGAAAAGGAGTTTTGGAATCGATCATCCGGATCCGCGCACGCGCGGGCTGACTGGAGCAGGATTTGTAGCGATATCTTAATGAAACCAATACCTGCTTCAATGGAGGCCCAGCGAACTCCTCTTACTGCAACTTCTTGGTGCTGTCTGCGGCGTTCACCCGCTTCAGGATGCGCAGCCACATGTCCAATCCCATCAGCGCCGCTTTTCAGGTCAGCTTATTTCAGTAACTTATCGTAGGTGTTAATTGCACTTACGAATGACCACCCAGGGGCCGTAGAGGCTAAAGACAAAGACGTTCTTCTGAGCCTGGTTGTACACGACAGGATCCCAGTGGAAGACGTCGTAGATGCAGGTCAACGTCGTGAGTGCGCACTCGACGCAGAAGACGAGCACGGCGAGTTCGAATCCGGGGGTTGTGCCAGTGCTTCTCGAGAACCTGTAGACCATCCAGGCGGCCATGGGCAGCTGGTAGACGATCTCGATGTAGGTGAAGAGCTTGAACCACGAGGGGAGGTTCTCATGAGACGCGGTGAAGAAGGGGTCGTTGTATGTTGAGATGTAGAAGTCGCGGAGAACTTGGAGGAAGTGCAATGGCGATGAGGGTGCCGCATAGAGAGCTGATGGGTAGAATGGGACAAGGTCGACCACTGATGTGAGGATGGTCAGTTCTGACTTCTGGTGAGGCGTAGTGAAGGTAGCTGAAAGATCTGGGACGGCCCAGCAACCAAGGCGCTTAATGACGACGCCACCCTTCCGCCGATAGAGTCCAGAAGAATGATAGCATTTCGAGCAATTACAATATCAGTTGACGCAAGGTGATAAAGGATGTAGACTCACGGAGCATGGCCGTTAGCTGGATACCAGAGATGACGAGGTACGCGCTGTCGCGCCAAGTTCTTGCTGATGCAGACATGGCGACGGCTTAAGCTTAAACTTAAACAATGGTGACAAGGCCTGATTACTTCGTTCAGTGCCCAGATTGAGGAGTTGCGTGGGTTGATGACAGCCGCTTCACGATGACCACGCCGTTTTGAGATGAGGAAAACATCAGGGGTGAGATGGTAAGCTTAATTTCACGAAAGATCTGTGCTGACATAAGCATCAGTTCAAGCGGTGGGTGTAAGTGATGCGACAAGCTTGTCGTCAAAGGATCATTACCACGCTAGAAGAAGGTTTTAGGGGAAGACCGATGAGATTCACAAATCCAATAGGTAATTCCAATTACGATTTTCAATTCCAACTTACAGCACCTGCCGGCCCGACCTCGTTCATACCGACAATTTCTAGTCTTACCTTGAAGAAATATCCAAGTCGTGCCCTCTATCGAACCACTGGTGTCAAGCGCGCCTTCAAGGGGCCTTTATCCCACAAGATGAAGACCTGCTGTTTCTTAGCCCAGTCTTTGTAGCCCTCGTCAATTTCAATGTCGAAATTCCAAATGAGGCGAGCCAGAATGAGTCTCATTTCAACATATGCCAGACTGCAGCGGTTAGCGGCACATTCCCCGGGAAATCAGTCGGTCGACAATACTCACTTGCGCCCCAAGCAGTTTCTTGAGCCAATGTGGAAAGGTTGGAAAGCTTCCCTGTTATCCGATGCGAACTTCTCATCCCCCATGAATCTCTCGGGGTGGAATCCGTACGAGTCTTTAAAATACTTCTCGTTGTGGTTGATGGCCCACTGGTGAATCGCCACAATAGTCTAATGGCAGTTTCCTCAGTAATCAGACACAGGCGAATAACGAGATTCTAACTCACATTCTCAGGCACAAATTTGCCGTAAATAGTCGCTCCACCCTTGGGTGTGACTCTTGGGAGGCCCATGGAGACTGGGGGGTAGACTCTGAGCGCCTCGTCCAAGCAAGCGAGCATGTAGGTCAACTTGTTGACAGAAACTAAATCAATTTCCTCCTTCGTCTTGAAAGATGTTCGGACTTCGTTCGTCAGCTTCGCCAGACAGTCCTTATTCATCAGGAGATAGTAGGTGACTCCAGCTAGTAACGTCGCTGTCGTCTCAGAACCCCCAATGATGAGCGTGTTGCTGTTTGCCGCGAGTGTCTCGAACGAGATATTCTGGTTCACCAGTAGTTAGAGAGATAGCCTGGGGAAGATGCTGGGAGTGACATGGGAGTTTAGTTACTAATTCGTCCTTCTTCTTCAACAAGCCCTCAATCAAATCAGGCCTGCCACCCTCCTTCTTACCGAGCTCCATGCGCCTTTCCAACTTTGCCTTTGCCCTAGCCAGGTTCTCACCTTTAGCCTTCTTCGCGGCCTTCGTCGCCAAAAGCGTGAAGAGAATCTTCTTCAGGAAGGGGAAATGGCCAGCAGTCTGCGCAAACACACCAAGGCGAGCAGATTGGAAAATAGCCTTGACCCACGGATGGTACTCCGACTTCTCCAAGCACCCAAACGGCTCCCCAAACGCCAAATCCCCAATGATATCAAACGTTGTGAAGTTGTACCAGGCCATCAAGTCGACGGATTCTTCGTCGGAGCAGTTTTCGTGCAGGCGCTGGATCATGAGATCCACGTACTTCATGATCAGAGGCTGCTGGTCGCGGAGACTGCGCTCGCTGAAGCCGTGAGAGAGCTGCCGTCTCAGCATCGCGTGTTCAGCGCCATTGGTGTTGACGATGTTGATGGGTTGCTCGGCTGTCGGGCGGTAGAATTTTAGGGCCTTTTCGAATGTGGGTGAGCCTGCGGACCGGTGGCCCATGATGTCTTTCCAGGCGTTGACGTTGCAGTAGGCCAGTTCGTCTGGGGCGACGCGGACTACGTCTCCGTATTTTTGGTGAAGTTCCAAGACGTCCATGGGAAGAGTGCCCTTGATGAGTCTGTGGCAGAAGGTCCATCTTGTCGCTCTCATGGAAATTGGCCCTGGGTAGTGCCGAAGTGGATGGAGGAATAGGTTGTATAAGATACATGATACTGTGTATACTGCAATCTAGTGTGGTGTTAACTCAAACAGTATTGATTCATCCAACTTTAATTAGCTTACGAAAGAGACACATGCCGTGATGGCGGTCAAGAAGCTATGTAGAAGTCCCATGCTGATCAGAGCCGATACGATGAGCGTTTGGCATTGTTGCTAGAAAGTTTGGAAGAATAAATGAGGTTCTTTGAGTGAGATATATCTTCCGCAAACTGCAGGACAACAAAATCCTGAACTTCACGAACACGTACTTAGTCTGTTGCGGTCCGTCAAATCTTTCTCAATTGCTGCAAACCCCTCTACAAGGCTGAGCTCGGAAAGGGCGAAGTTGCACAATGGGACGTACAAGTTGAAGTCGCTAAACTTAAATTCGAACAGTGGTTGATCCCTGCGGCCAGAAATAGAGCCCATCCCTCTTCTGAGCGACGAACTAAGGAACCTGTGATAGTGCCACCTAACGGAACCAGCAAATCATGAAAAGTTACGAAAACGAGGGAGATCAGAAGGGATGGGTAATTCCACGCATTGCTACTGGTTGATGTTGCATAGACATTCCCCTCGGACGGACAGCTAGGGCAGCAGGCGTTCGTTTCAAATTCCGAGGGCCTAGAACGTTCATCAAGTTCGATCTCAACTCCGTGCCGCAAATTAATCATTGCAGAAGGAACGGGCCGGAAACGGGGTTCGGTATGGAAACATTTGAGAATACGGTCAATTTCTGACATAGCCCAGCTCTTAGTCGTGGTTTGCGTACGCAGCTACTGCGGTAACTGCACGGCCTAGATGTCGATCTTGCTGATCAAATATCTCATTCATTACGAGTATCAAGCTGCGCGTCAAAGCTTTTTGAGCTCAAACACGATGGCTATGCTGTTTGCTCGAATATTGACTCTGGTGTACGTTCGTTGTCGTTGTCGTTGTCGTTGTCGCACGTTAATTGCGGAGCGTGCGATAACGAGAACGAGATATGAGCGGGAGCTAGTGAGTGATCGACAAAAGCAACGGACCAGGATTCACGCCGCCTTAGACATACTGAACGCTTGGTAGCAATGGCGGTACAAGAATCCGTAGATCCACTTTCTCTCCAGGCAAATTGGTCCAAGTCGTGTTCAGTAACGCGAGTTCTTTTCACGAATTGTGGGATCTAGGGTCTGCTTACGCCAGTATGCGATAGCGATCAAGAGTCAGAGGATGGGAATCGCAGATAGAGCGGATTTTGAGATCGGAAATAGCGGAATTAGGACAAGCGAAGTATCTTTTGAAAAAAATACAGTCCACTGAGGTTGTCACAAGTACGGCAGGATACGACTTACGCGGGAACCGTCACCTTGTATTTGGCCATGTGGTGCCTAACTCTCCTCTTGATCTACGTGATCTCTAGACTCTATCTAGCGCCTGTTCATTGTGTGAACTGATCTTAACTCACTACACATCAAGTTCTCTTACTCTCTTCCCTACATCTATGCTACGGGTCTTAGCGCACGAGTGACAGCGGCATTATGAAAGGAACTACAGCGTCTAGTTCCACGGAAAAGCAGCATACTGAGAATTCGCCAGCAGAGCCTCCACCATTCAAAATGGGACCTGAAGAGATTCCCTCTGAGGTAACCTCTGGAGAGATCTCAGACGAGGACGATAGAAATATCGTCATATGGGACGGACCCGACGATCCGCAAAACCCTATGAACTGGCCTGATTCTAGAAAATGGATCAACTTGGCCTTGATGTCGCTTTTGACTATTATTTCGTAAGTTTAACGCCCGCGATCGACTGGAACCAAGTATCTCACTAACTCTTTCAAGCCCACTGGTACATAGCCCTCTTAGTATCCGTCAGAGGTAACGACACAGAGCTGATATCTCACAATCGTACGTAGGGCTCATCTATGTTCGCCCCTGGAATTCCTAGAATCCTCGCAGAATTCAAGACCAACGATTCTCTCATCGCAACCTTCATCACATCCATCTACTTCCTTGGCTTCGCTTTTGGACCCCTGGTAGTAGCGCCTCTGAGCGAGCTTTATGGACGTGTTTACATATACCACGTCAGCAACGTCTTGTTCGTTTCTTTCTGCGTGGGTGCTGCTCTGAGTACAAGCATCGATATGCTCATGGCATTTCGCTTCTTGATGGGTGTTGTTGGCTCAGTTCCCACAACAATCGGTGTCGGTAGTATCGTCGATGTCATGCCGATCGAGAAACGGGGACGCTCAATTTCGCTCTGGGCAATTGGTCCTCTTCTGGGTCCTTCCATCGGGCCTGTCGCGGGAGGATATTTGATACAAGCTGCAGGCTGGCGCTGGGTCTATTGGCTACTTGCGATCTTGGTATGTTGATGGAATCGTATAATTCACGCCTGAAGCTGATATTTAAAGGGTGGTGTTTGTAGCATCCTGGCACTGATGATTATGCGGGAAACCTACGCCCCGGTCCTGCTAGAGCGCAAAGCACGCCGCCTACGAAAGGAAACCGGGAATGAAGCTCTGCGCACAAAAGCTGACCGTGATGGAAAGAGACTCATACAGCGAGCCGTGATCCGCCCATTCAAGTTTCTCTTCATGACACCATTGGTCTCCATTATTGCCGCCTACGTCGGGGTCGCCTACGGAATACTCTACTTGCTAATTGCCACGTTCTCTTTTGTCTACACCGACCAGTATCACTTCAGCGAATGTGATGCTGGCTTGGCGCTCTTACCAGCTGGGCTTGGCATGATGATTGGTGTCTTGACTTTCGGCAACGTCCAAGATTATCTTGTCAAGAAGGCAAAAGAGGGAAAGAAGCCAGGCGAGAAGTATAGGCCTGAAGTCAAAATCACGCCTTGATTAACGATTCAGACTGGTCTCACGATACCAATTGGACTTTTCATCTATGGTTGGACGACCGAATTCAAGGTCCACTGGATCGTTCCTATGATAGGCGTTGTCATCCTCTCCGGCGGACTCACTGGAGTTACGGTAGGATATTCTACTGATTACATGGCGAGCAGAAAGCTAATGTGATCAGATGTGTGTCCACAATTACCAAATTGATTCGTACGAAAGATATGCAGCGTCAGGTTCAGCAGCTGTCACACTATCTCGATCTCTGATTGGCGCTTTGATGCCCCTTGGAGGGTTGAAAATGTATGATGCCTTGGGTTTAGGATGGGGGAACAGTCTTCTGGGCTTCATGTCCTTGGCACTGGTGCCGGTACCTGTTGGTCTGTTTTTCTACGGGGGCATGATTCGGAAGAGATTCGATCCTGTGCTGTGAGACCGAATCAAAATGTGATTCGCCGCAGGTAAACTCAATTAGCCTTGCACATCCTGTACCCGAATCCATGACTTCTAGTTGTTATGCAAGCAAACCTGTCCCCGCAACCGAATGCCACTGTACTCATGCTTATGACTGAAGATACATGTACCAATATGTGAACGTACATCAGCGGAACCCGAAAACCATACTCGCTAGTGTCAAAAGTATACCACATCTTTTGACATCTCCCAAGAAAGGCGGAGGGAAAATGCCATCTTAGATTATCAAAACATCTTTCTTCGTACATATTCTAAGTAACAGTTTGCAATGCATATCTGTGTCGAATAAGCCGTTTCAGAATTCATCATGAGCCCACTACAATCATCTAAGGTAGGTAACAAGACAATGAAAAACCATATCAGAACGGTATAGCACATTACGGCAACCCGCGTTCCCCACCCCTCATCTCCCACGTCATGGCTCTCGCCATCATCCGATTATCGGCTAGTCGTCCGCAACATAGGCCCGTTGCTTCCTTCGCGCTGCAAAGTTTGGGAGTTGTACCTATGCAGATAATCATGGTCTGCCAATCTACGAGGCCGGTATCGCAAAGTAAGGGCGGAGATAAAGGCGAAAAACATGCTGACAGATCCCATTGCGAGATAAGATCTTCCCAAAAAGCTGTTGCGCCGGCCGATGCCAGAGGTTGTAGAAATGATGATAGACTTCGTGCCACGATTTTCACGGATAGGGTAGTCTGCATTTTCACACATGGTTAAGTCCTGACATTGGCAGCGGGGTTTTATGTGTAAAACGTACGGGAAACGACATCAAGGCGATAGATGCCTCTCTCCATCACTTCGTCATTGTTGCGCATAGCCATCTTGCTGAACGATGAGCCAGCGGATGTTCGCATCCACACCATGAAAGACTCATCTTCTGCTGGATTAAACATGTTGCCTGAATGATATCCGTTGGGATACCTTTCTGCCCAACCTGGAGGAGGCACGATGACGCCTTCATTGGACTGGGGGGTAACTGGTACTTGGTATTTGCTCGGTCGATACAGTCCCTTTTCAACACTCTTGGCGATGCCGACCGATGTCATGTTGTATGGAACGGTTCGGTTTGTACCACTCGGTATGCGCAGCGGGTTCTCGAAAGTGTCGTTGAAGTATGAGTTGGCTATCATGCCACAAGGGTAAACAATTTTCTCCTCTGCCCTACCAGCAACATTTCTTGATGCCACCGGAGCGCAATCTGAGCTCTTGATGCTATTCAATGAGACCGCATTGCCCTTCAGTTGGTCCTTATGACGAGAGTTGATATAGAGACGGTGGTTTTGATGGAAATTCGTAAGCCGATAGTAGTACAGAACTGGGGGCTGCAAGTCTTCAGGTAGGAAGAACTCTATTGTGCAAAGAGTGTAGTTCTTGGTAACCCCGTCGAAGGTCACGGACTGATTTGATCTTTTCCACTGATCCACAGGCTGGCCCGCTGATGAAGCCTTGAAGTGTTTTCGGACGTTGTCTGGTGGCATAACTTCAAGCTCGTTGTAGGATTCGATCTCGTCGCACTTTGTGTAGTCTATCCGCATCTCTCGTATCTACCCATCCGTCAGTAGAGTTCTCGACAAGGGTTTAGATTCTCCAACTTACGTTGTCATTTTGAACTAGCCAAAATATCCCCAGTGACAAGCAGACGACACCAAGTGCAAGGAAGATCTTGATTGATGACTTTGGTGTCAAAAGTGGCCTAGGAGTAAGTGTCAGAAGCTCGAATGGTGGCATGAATTGGGGATCACGCACTTCCAAGCTTTTAGGCGTTGTTGATTAAATGGTGTCGCCTTTGGCTTTCGCTGTTTCTCCAACTGAAGCAAATCTTCAGACTTGGGCCGACCCATCTTGTTCGCTCTTGGCCGGATATTGTCAGCTGCGTTCAGCGTTATCCTTTTCCAGAAATCGCGAACAGTGGGCTTCGTGTCTTTGACAACAGGATATGGCCACTGGTGGTGAAATGGGGTGTAAAAGCTGGTTATGCTTGAATGTCGGAGTTTGAATCCAAGGGTTTGCCTGGCAGGTATTGACTGTTGATAATGTCGTTGCCAAAGGGACTTGAGAGAAGTTCGGCGTCCATTCTGACTACGGAGTTCTCAAGGATCGTCATTTGCGGCGCTAAAACGAGGTTGCACTGTCCAGCCCGATGACTGTTACCGATTTAGCTCAACCAGCGCCGGCACTTTGAAACCTTAAGAATGAGCCACTGTAAAAAAGTGAAACATACATTGACGTCTTGAGTCAGTATAAGGCTAGTCGTATTGTGCATAGACACGTAAGTCTTTATCTCCTCGTCAGTAATCTAGAAAAGTCCGCTGGTGATCTGATGGACCTGAGATGTGATTAGCTGAAGGGCGTCAAAAGCTACGACTCGCTGGCGTGGGGCCATCTCGTACTCGGAAGCATCCTATTGGGGCTATGCTGTAAGATAGCGGATCGTTACATCTGTAGCAGCTTGTCTAGGGTCATATCACTGTGATACATGATGCTTTTGGTAGTCTTGGCTCGTTATCGTTTTCTCTTTCGACATCTCTTGGGCCGCTGCAAGGGCCGTGCTTCCCGGCCGCTACGGGTGGGTGTTGATTACCAACGAGGCAGGCGTGGGTGTTTGACATGGCTTAGAACCCTTGGCAAATGTTGATCTCTGGTCAGCTCCTTGACTTGCGTGCGGTGACTTCCAGACCGATACTCAATTCCAAATATACTGACGGCGATTCATCTCAAAGTTGGTGAAAAGGATCGTGGACATATGAAGAGGCCATCCTGACGTGAGCATCAATGACACAAGACCGCAACAGCTCTCCTGATATATATTGCAAATTCAACAAAGGCATTCAACAACATACAGGCTACCCGGTGGTAGGTTTTATTCTACGCTCTACGGGGTTTACACCAGGCTAATATTGCACCAAATAGACATACCTCTGCAAGATTCCCGATCAGTCTTCAATAGACAATAACTCTCCACGGTACCCAACATGGGTTTCGGAGGCTTCAAGTCTTTGCTGTCGAGATCCCGTGTGCCATCATCCCCCGCCGGCCGTCGAATTCCGATCCGGCTGGGACAGAAGTCTACATTACGCGACGAACGTCGTGGCAAGCCGTACGTCTCAAACAGCATCAAGACCTCTAAATACAACGTCTTCGACTTCCTCCCCCGCCAACTCCTCTACCAGTTTTCGCGACTCGCCAATGCCTACATGCTCATCATCTCCATCTTGCAAATGATTCCTGGGTTCAGCACCACTGGCAAATTTACGACACTTATTCCTCTTGTCATCTTCTTAGGACTCATCATATCGAAAGAAGGGTACTACGATTGGAAGAGACATCGCCAAGATGTAGCGGAAAACAACTGACAAGCCATGGCTCTTCGAAGTGCCGCATCGGGAGCGAAGGGCTCCTTGGCTGCCGGACCTGAGTACTACGAAGGGTCGAACCCGAACGGGCATCAGTGGATGCGCGTCGGCTGGAAAGATCTCAAGGTCGGAGATATCGTGTCACTTTCAAGAGACGAAGACGTGCCAGCCGATTTGGTTTTATTGCATGCTGACAGTCAAGAAGGAGTGGCCTATGTCGACACGATGGCCTTGGACGGCGAGACCAGTCTCAAATCCAAGCAAAGGCCGGCAAAGCTTCCTGATTGTGGTACGATCGAACAAATCGCCTCCTCCAACGCTGAGTTACTTGCTGAGGACCCCAACGCGGATCTTTATCGTTTCGACAGCAAGCTCACAGTAGACGGCTTCACAATACCACTCACCATCAATGAGGTCATTTATCGAGGGAGCACAATACGCAACACGACAAAAGTTATCGGGGTTATCATCAACACAGGGGAGGAATGTAAAATCAGGTTGAACTCGAACAAGGAGACAAAGCCTAAGCAGCCGGCGTTGGAGAGGATCACCAACTTCATTGTCGTGTTCCTGATGTTCTACGTCCTTATCAGCTCTGCTGCAACATCAATGGGTTATCTTGCTTGGAAAGGCTCTGAGGAGGGCCACGCTTGGTATTTGTCTGCCGCCTCGGTTCCCTTTGCGGACATCTTTGTGGGCTTCATCATCATGTTCAACAACGTCATTCCGCTGTCCCTTTATGTCGGGCTTGAGGCCACCAAGCTAGGCCAAATGACACTCATCAGTAACGACTTGGAGGTGTACCACGATGAAACAGACACCCCTGCAGGAGTGAACACGACCAACAACCTAGACGATCTTGGCCAGATCAGTTATGTCTTCAGTGACAAGACTGGAACCCTGACGGAGAACATCATGAAGCTTCGGAGGCTCAGCATTGCTGGAACTAGCTGGCTTCATCAGATGGATGTACCAGAGAGCTCGACAGCGAGTGCTGACTCGACTTCGAACTTGACCACTGAGCACATGCTCGAGTACATTCGGTCGAAGCCCAACTCTTTATTCGCCTCTAAAGCCATGAGGTACATCTTGGCTATGTCACTTTGCCATACCTGTCTTCCGGAGAGAACTGAGGACAGAGAGATTGACTTTCAAGCTTCTTCCCCTGATGAGTTGGCCTTAGTCAGGGGTGCGCAGGAGCTCGGGTTCCTTGTCATTCAGCGATCATCCCAGTCTATCACGGTGCAGATACCCCACGCCGACGGCAACAGCTCTTGCACTGTTTTTGAGATCTTGGATGTGATTGAGTTCAGCAGCAAGCGCAAGCGGATGACTGTGGTTCTTCGTTGTCCGGATGGAAGACTGTGGCTCATTTGCAAGGGGGCCGACTCTATCGTCTTGCCCCGGTTGCGCATGGCTCCCGCCGACATGAAGAGGACCCGCAACAGCAACACTGAACCTCTCAAGGGTGTGACCTCATTGCCATCCCGTTGGAGTTCACGGCGGTCGAGACTTCCGGGTGAGACTGTTACTGAGATCAGGGAGGAAGACGACTGCTCAGTTTATAGTCAAACGTTGGGAGACGTCGACGAATTCGGGATTCGGCTCCAGCCACAGCGACCACAGATCAACCCAGCACGTGGCAGACAGGTTGACCAATCTCGTTTTGGTTTCCTGGAGGGGTCTTGGATTGCCGACGAGGCTCGGAGCATTCGCGAGTGTATCGCTCATATTGACGACTACGCAACCGAGGGACTGCGCACTTTGGTCTACGCGGACAAGTTCCTCGATCCAGAAGAGTACAACAACTGGAAAAGCCTCCACCATGAAGCCGAGACCAGCCTTGTGAACCGTCAAGAACGCATCGTGGAAGTGAGCGAGCTGCTCGAGCAGTCTCTTGATCTCGTGGGAGCTTCTGCAGTGGAGGACAAGCTGCAGACTGGGGTACCGGAAACGATTGAGAAGCTACGGCAGGCTAGGATCAAGATTTGGATGCTCACTGGCGACAAACGAGAGACAGCGATCAACATCGCTCATTCGACACGGATTGTTGGTCCCGATACTTCCCTCTTCGTACTCGACGTCGACGAGGGCGATCTTGAGTTGCAACTTACCGGCATTGCGGACGAGGTTCAATATGGTCTCCCGCAGGTGTACTCTGACCCGACTCGCTCGCATACGGCAATCGTAATCGACGGCGAGACGTTGACCGCGATTGAGGATCCATGCGCAGTCCAACTCCGTCGTCTGTTTGTCACAATGATTACCAAGGTCGACTCTGTCATTTGCTGCCGTGCATCGCCTGCCCAGAAAGCCCTGCTCGTTACTGAAATTGGCAAAGGCCCGCAGAAGAAGTCACGATGGTACAGTTGGCTGAGTCCGACCTCAACCAAGCCCCTGACTCTTGCTATTGGCGACGGTGCCAACGACCTGGCCATGATCTCTGCTGCCAACGTCGGTGTAGGCATCTCTGGCAGAGAGGGCCAACAGGCCGCTCGTGTCGCGGACTTTAGCATCTCCCAGTTCCGGTACCTGTCTCGCCTGGTACTTGTTCACGGTCGTTGGAACTACTATCGCACGACACGGTTCATATTGGCCACATTCTGAAAGGAGACCTTTTTCTATCTCCCGCAAGCACTATTTCAAGAGCAGACAGGAGCCACAGGTACGAGTTTGTACGAACCAGGGAGTCTCACCTTCGTGAGTTTCTTCACTGCGGCTTGCATTCTCGTCATCGGAACTTGGGAACAGGATCTCCACTCCCGCACTCTGACTGTGGTCCCGGAGCTGTTCAAATATGGACAGAATGCCGAGGGCCTGAACATGTCGGTGTACTTTAGCTGGTTCAGTAACGCAATGATTTCGGGACTCATTGTCTACGCGGGCGCCTGGGCGGGTTACACGGACTCTGAAATGATTGACGATGATGGGCTGTATGCCCAAGGACTGCTGACATTTGCGCTATGTGGAGTTTGGGTCAACCTCAAATTACTGTGAGTACATCTGGGCTTGGGTTTGATGTCTGGCTTCCTGACTTGGAACAGGGTAGTTGAGCTACACTACAAAACCAGAGTCGCCCTCTGGTCCATCGTCGGCAGTATCGCGGTACTGTGGGCCTATTTGCTTATAGCAGGTGCCATCTCTTCACCAAGCGCGGGCCCGTATTCCGTCCGCGGAGGCCTGATCTCGGAATTTGGTAGAGATCCAGCATGGTGGTCTACGCTTATCATGGTGCTGTGTGCACTGTTTCTGATGGAGATGGCTACAAAGGCACTGAGACAGAGCCACGTCTTGCGAGCTTGGCTGTCGAGGTGTTGGTCCTCGAGCGAAAGAGTGGATGGCAAGGGGGGAGGTGTCAGAGAGGGCTTTAACGATTGGGAACCCCGACTTTGGCAGGAAATGGAGAGAGACGCGAGTGTGAAGAAGGTTTTACATGGTCTCAGTAGATGACGACGAGGTGGAATATGCAGGTGGTAGTAACCAGCTTCTGTCAACAACCAGCCCCAAGTAGGATTGAATTGAGATGACAATTATATACGAAGTTGACATTTGCTCAATACCGGCCTAGTGAGTGAAAGGATTGATTCCGTTTACCTTGAAAATTTTCTCCTCAAGTGCAGCACCGCGTCTTTATTGCCCTAGCTCGGAGCTTCGGCCTGTTTTACATCCAAGCAAACATTGACGCCAGCAGCGTAATAAACATTACTACAGAACCCGCAGTCACAACGGAAGCTGCGCTTCTTCCGTTTCCATTGTTATTGTTGTTGTTACCGCCACTGTTTCCGCCGTTGTTCCCTCCATTGTTTCCGCCTCCATGGCCACCGCTGCCTCCATTGTCCTGTGCCATGTTCAGCATGAAGTAGGTTGCGCCGATGGGGCGTCCGAGGCCAGCTTGTTTGCGGAATTGAGAGATCTAGGAAAGGTCAGCTTAGGGTGAGAGAACCTTGACTCTGCTGGATAAAACCAACATTGAAGTTCTTCCGATTCATCTTATCGACGCCCATGGCGTCGAAGCCCATCTTATTCAGCTTCTCGGGTTGGACGTAAAGCAGGTACACGTATCGATGCATGCCACTGCCAGCTTTGGGCTCCGGCGCCATATAATCATTGAAGGCGGGGGTTGAGTTCTTCATGATCATCGCCGATGCAAGGACTTCAGATTTGGTCTGCTCAAGGGTGAAGTTGCCAGCGAGGTAGTGCCTCATGTTTCGCTCTGTGGGGCTTTCGCGTGTTGGAGAGTCCGGCCCAATCTGGTCCGCAGTATTAGTACTAGTCAAACTTCCCAGTCCAGGACGGGACACGCGTACCATGTAGAGAACAAATCTAGAATTCCGAGTCACGTTCCTAGCTTTCATGATGTTCTCGACGCTGAACTCGAACGGGAACTTGGTTTCCTTCATCTTGAGTTTTGTTCCGGGCATCAGCAATGCCTTATCGCCATCACTGGCTTTGTAACCGGCGTAGAAGGACACCATCGGGTCGAACGATCCCATTACATCAGGAACAATACCGGCTTCCATGAAAGCCTGGCGGAATTCTGTTGTGGACATACTCCTCGGTGGCATGTCATTATGAGCAACTGCCACGACGGCGAGTAAGGCCGTGATGCTGATGATAGACTTCATGGTGGTCGAAGAATGGGCTGTGCTTGTAGTCCTGGCCCGCGATGGAAGAGAGAATGGCAATCAGCAAAACTGGCGTCCAGCACCTGTGGGATTTTGAAGTTGAATTAGATGAGGGAATGAAGACGAATCGGGCGCTTTGATAACTCTCGTTGCCTAGGTTGGAGCTAAAGGACGTGGATGATCTTTATCCTTTGGTTAGTTTACTCTCTACGTGCTCCACCATCCTGGCATCACGGAATCACGGGCCAAATAGCAACTCATCATACCCTGGATTCATGAATCTTCAATTGCGTGGGAAATCCAAACATGCTCTAAGATGAGACATAAAAGGTGAGGCTGTTTGGCTCATTGAGCTTCCCGATGGAGTTTTTCTCTGCCGGACGTGCGCGGGGTTCTCTTTGACTTTCCCGCACAAAGTTTCAGGACCTTGGCTACCCCTTGCTCACGATTGGATAGCTTTTGGGACGGGAAGAAAAGAAGCTTTTGTTGAAGCTCAGGTTGTTGTTTGTATGACCCTGGACTGATCTTTACCTTATCGTATGCCGAGTCGCATCCCTCGGAGAAAATGTCACTGGCCGACCGTCGATCCCACTAGACGATCACAAGATTGCTTGGCGAACTATGCTAGACAATTCTGGCACGTTCGACACTGTCCTCAGAAGGCCACGGAACGTCGACCCTGAGTCAAGGGTCTGTTGGGAACAGACAGTGGCCGTGTCACTACAGTGCCTCCATGCGAGAACAGGATGAACCTCATTGGCACCCTTATTCTCCCAGTGTTTCCGCGTGACTATGTGTAAAAAGGTGTCGCCTAATATTTGAAATTGACAACCAAACATTTCAATAAAGGTGAAAGATTGAATTTGACTTAAACACTGAGCTCGGAATCGGGATGGAAAGCTGTGGTCGGCACCGGGTCCGATTCGCATCCCAGCTAGCCCGCTTCAAAGGTTTGACCGGGTTGAGCTCTCCACCCATGATGTAGAAGTGCAAAAGCAAAGTTGTGAGCCGGGTTTCCATTGGATCGCAATCACGGCTCGGTGAGCGCCGAGTTAGTATCAAAGCTAGCACGCGGGAGTGTAAATGGAGCGATCATCGATTAGGGATGATGCTGGCGTCAATCCTCCTCACCCCTCGGTGGGGGAGAGGGACGTAATAAGCAAGAAAAGCCAACTCCACGTGCTTTGGTTACAGTGATATCCTATATGTCCGTGGGGCAGTTCAGTCATGGGGTAGTTGTTCCAGAGAGGAAAACAAGAAACGAAAGCCGAGGTGGCTGCCTCCAGATGGAAACAACATATCCGACGTATTGGATGCCAAGACCAGGAAGGTTCCGTTTCAGGGCGCCAAGAAACCTTGAGTCAATTTGAGAAGTCCTGAATTTCAGTCCAAAGACAAACTCGCAGGTCTACCCGATTCAAAACCGAGTCATTGTGACAAAACGGTAAAAACAGCCGGATGCCCGAGTATGTTATTTCATGACACAGCCAGCCTCAAAAAGGACTGTCTAAAAGTAATACTTGTAGGTTGCGTAATAGGTAATGCTTTGGAGTCATCGCAAGGGGGAAAAGACTGGCGCAGACCCTCGGGAACATTAACAGAAACAGGATTTTTATGAAAACCCATGGTCTCAACCCGTCGTGGGTAACATCGTCGAAAAAATACGCCTATTGCTTAGATATGAGCTGCACAACATTGTCACGAGCCCAAAGCCAATTGAGAGTTCACAGCAAGTAAGCATTGACTGACATGGGGTTTTGACGTTACAGGCGTTCCGAAAGGCGGGAAGCAGAACCGGACATGACAAACCGGCAGCAGTTTCCGAAAGAGCCTCTCGCGCCTGTCTCGTCCCGACTTCCACAACAAGATAATATTAGAGTTTCCTTTAGACTCAATATAGTGTCAGTCAAACTCACATATCGCAAAGCTGATAAGATGTCGAGCAGCTTTCCACTCTGTGCCATGGTTACGCCACCCAAGACAAGCAGACTTTGTACAAGAAAAGTAGATTGAAGGCCTAGAACGTAGCCATCGCGGCTGATCCTGTATGCTCACGAGCATATTGTCTCTACGAGGTAATAACGTAGTGTCCGTAAAAACGGATCCGGCGTGAAGCGCTTTTCTTACATTCCAAAATGACAAAACAACTCGAGCTATGTTTTATCGACAGCAGCCGTGTTCCATCGCCGGAGTATATGAAATTTGAGGCCTACAGGTACCCTGACCTGATTATGGGCTGCATTCAGCACGAGGATAAGCCCACAGTAGACGTCAGCTTATTTCGCAACGATGAAAATAGCTATAAACATACCGCAAGCTTGGATTATTACTACTGCTTTCTACCTACGTTAACCAGACCCTGCCAGTTGACTGATTCCTGGCATCTTATGGACCCAAATGTCCATCTTACCTTCGACTCCATCCACGAGCCATCGCGCTAGTGCGCCCCGCCTGAGAGTTGTAGTCCACCCTTTTTCTCCTATTCGTCCAGTGAACATTTCAAGCTCCCGGTCCTGTCTCCAGCTATTCTCATCAGACTCTCCAGGTATCTGTGCTATGCGGAAAACAGTCCAGTCAAGACCATGATCTTCTTTGCCAAACAAGTAAGCAAGACTCTGCATATTGCGGTGAACAGCGTTATTCAAAAGTGGCATAATGATCGTAACCATGGTCTGAAGAATGTCCAGTGGTCTTCGGGCTGGTTGATAGAAATTGTTCCCATGGCAAGGATTCGTTTAACCCCGTTCTGTTTCATGGCAGGGAAAACATAGTTGCGGTAGATGTTGGCATAAAGAGAAGGGCCGATGTGCTTGTCGTTGATATTCGGCCCGAGGAGGGATACAACTACAGACGAGCAGGCCATTGCTGAGTCTAAGGCTTTGGTGTCACTCATTTCCCCTTCGATTATCTGATAAAGAACTTAAGTTAGTTTGAACGTAGTCCGACTCGGCATAGTAGAGAACATAAGCTCAAAGTCACAAC